CTTGCTGCGCCGGACCCTTCCCCGGGACCTCCCTTCCCCCGACCCCTGCGCCCCCAGCTCAGGACTTTCGCGGGCTCCCTCCAGCCCCTTTGCTTCCCCTGTCCTTCCTCCGCCGTCGTCTCTCCCCCGCCAAGTTCCCAGGAGCCTTGGGCTGCTCTTGGGAGGCTGGAGGGAAGGAGGGCGAGGGTCGGGAGAGGAAGGACTCATGTATCTGTCCGTTCATTCGGTATTGTCTGAGCAAGGTTGGTGCCCAACACTGTTTCGACTACTGGGAGTATAAAGGCGAACACGACAGACCTCACTTTACGGTGTGGAGGAGAGGGCAAGACATCATTTAAGGGGGAGATGGCTAATTATACACTGTGGAGAGTGTTTCAAAACATCAGGCAGTTCCTCTTGGGCACCTTCCCCTGTTTCCCCGGTGCCCCTTGCTGCCCCCCTTAAGCCATTTCCTCTCAGGGCAACTCTACCTTAAAATCAGGCAGGCAGCAAAAGTTAAGATGCGGATCAGCAAGTGAGGATGCCAGGGAAAGTTGGACTCCTAAGAAGCAAGGTATAATCACCCCAGTGGTTAGAGAAGCAGCTACCCAGGCCTCAACCCCCACACACTTGGGCCTAGAGCTTGCTGGGTCTGAGGTTGATGTTAGGGAGTTGGGTACAGGTGGGCAGCAAGCTTGATCCCTTCCTCACACCATTCACCAAGCAAATGAAGAGGAGAGTAAAGCCCAGAAAGATTTTTGTGTTTTAAAAAAAATCCTGCCTTAAAAAATAAAGAGTTGGACATTTACCAACTCACTAGAAGGGAGTGAGTTTTCTTTTCTTTTCTTTTCTTTTTTTTTGAGTTGGAGTCTCACTCTGTCGCCCAGGCTGGAGAGCAGTGGCACACTCACAGCCACCACAGCCTCGACCTGCTAGGCTCAGGTGATCCATCCGCCTCAACCTTCCAAGTAGCGGAACTACAGGTGCGCGCTACCACACCTGTCTTATTTTTCTGATTTATGTAGAGATGAGGTCTTACCAAGTTGCCCAGGCTGTTCTCGAACCCCTGAGCTCAGGCAGTCCTCTCACTTCAGCCTACCAAGTGCTGTGATTACAGGCTTGAGCCACCATGCCCAACCAGGGTTGGGGGGGGAATGAGTTTTCTAATGTTGAAAGTAATGGTAGACAACCCAAAAGAAAAGAGCTATGACTCCTGTGGCTAATAAAAAAAAAAAAAAAAAA